ACATGCATTCAGACCTTGCCTGTGTTTCAGTACGATGTAGGTAAAAAATATATTTGCAAACTTTTCTGTACTTAAACTTCTTCAAAAATATTCATTCAATATGATGTGCATGTTACTAAGTCAGATGAAAGATTCTACTTACAATGTATATTGAAATGTAAGGCCCTCTGAGGTTTTTAATTTGGAGAAAACTTTATAGCATCTTATTCTAACATTATAGCATCGTATTCTATCTTGCTAAAACTTTCCAGGAATATGATGGGCAATACAGAAACTGCTTATAATTATTTTGAAGAAATTCATACACTTTGACAAAAATTATGCATACAATTTTGAAAGTTCAGAAAACAAATGGAAAGCAGTTTAGAAACCAGTAAGATATGAACTAATTTTTCCAGTTTTTCAAGAATTTAAGATTTCAATGGATGTTTGGATGAAGGTTTTTTATTTGCTGAGCTATGCCATTTGGAAAGTGTCACTTAACTTTCTTTTTCAAGAGGCAAAAATACATGTAAACCCGTGTTAGGTGTCCATACAATCTAGTTTTTTGGCCAAAAAATGCATCTTCAACTAAAAACTTATATTCCCTGTTTCAAACAAAAAGCCTAAATTGTTCCAAATAAAACAGTCAACCTAGCACCATCTTTACCATCTCAAGATAATTTCTACACTTTTGTTTACAAATCTAATCTTTGAGCTTGGTAGCACCCTGTTTGCGCTGGCTACATTGGAGAAGGGAAGCCCAGCCAAACACCACGGTGGACAGGCGTCAACCCGACCTCATTGTTGTTTTTGTGCCTAGATAGAAAAGAAAAAAGCAAAAGTTATTTTCAGGCCATTCTACTACATTAGACAGAGGATATTTAGCTGTCGCCAGCATATTTAACTAAATGGTATTTAGCCAACTGCAGGTGTATGAGTACATGTAGACAGCGCCCTCGTTGATGCATATGCATGAGTAAGGCTGTGCAGGTTATTCCCCAGAGATTCAATATATGTTTGGTGCCTTAGTCAATAATGCGCACATCTAAAAATCACAAGTTATGCTCCCAACTAGGTTCGATCCCAACCTGCTTTTAAAATTGACTCCGGTATTTAATTACAGAGAAATTAGATTTCTTTTTCTGAATCATGGCTCTGTATGAATTTTTTATGGGAAATTTGGTCCAAAATTGATTTTTTTTATTAGTTTAAAAATAATTCCAGTATTTAATTACAGAGTAATTTACTTTCTTTTACTGTTTCATAGCTCTGGAGGAGTATTTTTATGGGAAACTAAGTCCAAAATTGAAAAATGAAGAACTATTTTATTATTTTAAAATTGACTCCAGTATTTAATTCCAGATTCATTCATTTTCTTTTTCTGATTCATGGCGCTGGAGGAATTTTTTTATGGGAAACTAAGTCCGAAATTGTAAAACAGTTGGCACAGAACCAGACTGAGATTTGTCCCCCCCACCCCCCCAAAAAAACCCCAATTACTGTCCATGTGCGCGGCAAAAAATCATTTAGTTACATTAGCCAGCGACAGCAAAATATCCACTCCATTAGATTGAGAAAACCAATCTACAAGATTAAGGAAGAGCTTTATTCTTCAACAAAAATGCTTCTGTTAATTTTGCATGGCAAGCTTCAGTGACCATTCAGTTATTAGCCTACGACGGTCCAACCTCATGCTGAGTATGAACAGCACTGATAAGAATAAAGAACAAGGGTTGGGTTTATTGCTCCTATTACTAAGATTCAACTGTGACAGACTGATATATTTGAACCCCAAAACGGCCCTGATGGGGGAGGTAGGATCCGCCCCCTTAATTTTTATTATCGTGGCAGCACAATTCTTTTCCTCCATCAAGCCTTCAGGAGGTTTTCCAGCGATGTCTTTCAGTTTTGACACCAACTTTTTAAAAATCACATGCATGCCACGCTATGTCTATGTTTGCAAGACAGCTCAGCCAAAAATGTTTACTTTTTCCCACTGATGTGCACAATACCAAAGCCAATATACAAGAACATGCGGGCTTGAACTTTAAATGACCATAACATCAAAACCACAGATTGGTCAAAATTTCACATCTGTATTGATCATGACTATTTTGTGTAAATGTCAAGTTATTTAAAAAGTTGGGCGGAGAATAGCGGAGTTCAAAATGGGGGGGTAGATTGTACCTCCCTCTGGCTGAGAAATGGCCTGAATAAACTCTGGATCTCTTATTTTTGAAATTGGCTGATTTTCAAAAAAGGTTTCTTCTGACACCTTTGCCTGTGAAAACAACACAAAGGAATAAATACAAAAACCTCAGTCACAATACATCAAACCTACAGTTTACACATGGTTTGTGAAATAACCCATCATGATTTACTCCACACATCTTCACAAAGTAAACAGATTCTCCAAGAGGGTAGACCACTGTAAACGCAGAACTGAAAGGAACAGGGCCTGATAAATGTTGCAAAATCTCATGTACAGTCATTTGCAAAAGTTTAAGACCACCCCTGGATTTGAATGCTATATGTATTTGCATGTCATTGGGCCTGCATGTCTCATTGACGGATTTTAGGTTTTCTTTTAGATTAACCCTCCTTTGGTTTTACAGCACAAATATACACAAGTGCCCAAGGTCACTCTCTTGCATGTTGGTGCAGTGGACAACACAACACAGCTGTGCTTCTTTGAGGTGTTTACCAAATGACCCAGAGAGTGACTTCAGCATAGGAGGGTTAATGCATTTTGTACAGTGGTCCTAAACTTTTGCAAATGCCTGTAATTTGATGCAATCATTTCTCTTTTTGTAAATGACACCTGAAATAAGGCACATGGTGAAGGTGTGGCTCATGCATGTAGTTGCAAATTTACCAGAGGTATTTTTCAAGTCAAACTTGCAGTGTGTGACAATCAGCATGAAATTGCTCTACGATTGCTCAGTCCAGCATGGATATGGTTTGAGGTTCAAGTCCACCTGCTGGTTCATGTTGCTGAGATCAGAGCTAGGATTGATCACTCAAGCCCAGATGGTTAGAGGCTCCAAGTCCACCTGCTGGTTCATGTTACTGAGACTAAAGCTAGGATTGCTCTTCTCAAGCCTGGATGGTTGGAGGCCCTGGTTGTCCTGCTGGTTCATATTGCTGCGACTAGAGCTAGGATTGATCACTCAAGTCTGAATGGTTTGAGGCTCACAAAGTCCATCTGCTGATTCATGCTGCTGAGACTAGAGCTTGGATAGTTCACTGAAGCCTGGATGGTTAGAGGGTAGAGTTGACCCGCTGGTTCATGTTACTGAGACTAGAGCTAGCTAGGATTGGTCACTACAGCCTGGATGGTTTGAGGCTGAGGTTCACCTACTGGCTCCTGTTGCTGAGACTAGAGCTGTTACTGGTCACTCAAGCCTGAATGGTTGGAGGGTATAGTTGACCTGCTGGTTCATGCTGCTGAGACTAGAGCTAGGATTGATCACTCAAGTCTGAATGGTTTGAGGCTCACAAGTCCACCTGCTGGTTCATGCCACTGAGACTAGAGCTTGGATATAATAACAATTTATTCATTCATAAAGCGCAAATTTCATATGGATATGTTCAAATGAGCTGTACAATGAAGACATTAAGCGTGGAACAATGAATACATTTAAACATGGTTGAACCGATGGCATACATGTACAAGGGCGCCTCAGGCAGCCGCCAAATGACCCACATTCACCAACATCAGTAAAGGGGAGACAGTAAGAAGCAGTTACAGTTTAAGAGGTGGGAGGAAAACCCCAGAGGAATATTCTGGGTAAACCCCACGGAGTCAGGTAGGGACTGAAAACCCAATCCACATGTGGACCGGGCCGGGATTCGAACTCAGGACCACAGAGGTTGAAGGCGAGGAAAGAACTACCCTGCCAACCTGACTCCCCATATAGTTCACAGCCTGGATGGTTAGAGGGTATAGTTGATCTACTGATTCATGTTGCTGAGACTAGACATATGATTGGTCACTCTGGCCTGGATGGTTTGAGGCTCAAGCCCGCCTGCTGGTTCCTGTTGCTGAGACTATAGCTTTAACTGGTCAGTCAAACCTGAATAGTCAGAGGCTCAAGTCCACCTGCTGGTTCCTGTTGCAGAGAATAGACCTGGGATAGATCATACAAGCCTGGCCGGTTAGAGGATAAAGTTGACCTGATGGTTCATGTTACTCAGACTAGAGCTAGGATCTGGCATTGAAGCCTGGATGATTTAAGGCTAAAAGTTCACCTGATTGCTTAAGCTGCTAAGCCTATAGGCTAAGATTGGCCTCCAGTGTGGATGGTTTGAGGCCCAACTCCACCTGCTGGTTCAAGTACCTGAGACGAGAGCTAGTATTGATCACTCCAGCCTGGGTTGTTTGAGGCTCAAGATCACTTGCTGGTTCATGTTGCGGAGACTAGAGCTGGGATTGGTCACAGAAGCTGGATGGTTAGAGGTTCAAGTCCACTTGCTGGTTCATGTTGCTGAGACCAAAGCTACATGTAGGATTGATCACTGAAGTCTGAATAATGGCTTAAGCTCACCTGCTGGCCATGTTGCTGCGATTAGAGCTAGGATTGCTCTCACAAGCCTGGATGGTTAGAGGCCCTGGTTGTCCTACTCGTTTATGTTGCTGAGACTAGAGTTAGGACTGGTCACTCCAAACATGATGGTTTGAGGCTCAAGTTTACCTGCTGGCTGATGCTGCTGAGACTAGAGCTGGGATTGGTTACTCCTGCCTGGATGTTGAGAGGCTGAGGATCATGAGCTGGTTCATGTTGTTGAGACTAGAGCTAGGATTGCCGGTAACTCAAGTCTGGATGGTTAAAGGCCCTGGTTGTCCTGCTGGTTCATGTTGCTGCAACAAGAGCTAGGATAGATCACCCAAGTCTGAATGGTTTGAGGCTCACAAAGTCCACCTGCTGGTTCATGCTGCTGAGACTACAGCTTGGATAGTTCACAGAAGCCTGGATGGTTAGAGGGTATAGTTGACCAGCTGCTTCATGTTGCTGAGACTAGAGCTGTTACTGGTCACTCAAGCCTGAATGGTCAGAGGCTCAAGTCCACCCCCTGGTTCCTATTGCAGAGAACAGACCTAGGATAGGTCATTCAAGCATGGATGGTTAGAGTCTAAAGTTGACCTGCTGGTTCATGTTACTGAGACTGGAGCTGTGACTGGGCACTGAGGCCTGGATGATTTCAGGCTAAAAGTTCACCTGACTGCTTTTGTTGCTACAACTATAGGCAAGGATTGGTCACTCCAGTGCGGATGGTTCAAGGCCCAGATCCGCCTGCTGGTTCATGTACCTGAGACAAGAGATAGTGAGATAGTGTTGGGTAGTCAAGCCTGGATAGTAAAAGACTGAAGTCCACCTGCTGACTTATGTTGCTGAAATGAGAGCTCCAGTACAGGTCAGAATTTTAGCCGACACGTAATCACGCGTAGCATGTCAGCGCACATCGAGTCAAACAGAAACGAACAGAGCTTAATAACTGCAAACACAAAACACCCTGACCCCTGCATAACAGAGAACGCCAACACTGTAATCCGATCTGCTCGGTATAAACATGCACATGCTACACGCAAACCCCAAGCCTTTGTTGACCGAAAGAGTCATTTTCCTAGTTTCCCACAACGAAAAGTATTCAGTTCAACCTTGGTTTGACTGCAGCTCAAGTAATCTTCAAATTCCTGGGAAATGTGGTCAGCAGTTGACCTTGTATTTAGCAGGCACCACAAAATCATTTTCGAAGATAAAGCATTTTGTTTGGCCATACAGGATCGATGAAAGTGCCATGCAGGCAACACTTTTGGTTCATGTCTGAATTGCCCCAAAAACCTCTGAATCAGATGCAGAAAATATTTGAGCATGAAATCAATTTTTCAACCGAGACAACTTTAACTACATTTGTAGCAGTTTTATGACAAAGCCTTTCCTAAATTGAGAGGGCACTGTTTTCAGCTGCCATATGTAATTTGTTTGCTTTCCACTTCGTATTTTTTAATCCGTTTTTATTGTGTGTGCTTTTAGCCATCACTTCTTAATCTTCGAATTGTGGTATCCCCGTTTATTGAGTGTTTCTGAAGTGTGGATTTTGTTGTTTTGGTGGATGTTGGAAGTGTTCTTTTTTACGTGTTTTTATGACGCTGGATTGAATGATCGAGTGACATGGCCATGAGGATAACTTATAGCGGTATGGTCACAGTTCTATGTTTCATGGTCCTTTGCAATGCTCTACATTTGAGACAACTTCAACACGATATCACAGGAAACGATCTTATGATCTTCTATAATTTGCCCTATGTGCCAGCACGACGGGGGGGGGGGTCACAGAGACACTGGAGACTTCCCGGTTATTATCACTCTAAGGTCCCAATTTGTCAATGGACCAAACGTGGACAAACATGCCTCGTAATATCTACGGCTGATCCCCCAATGGACTTAACAATTTGCATGGATGTCTTGGAAAACCCAGGACCACGCACCATCAACCAACATAATTCGTCAAGTGTGTTATTGATGGTTCATCAGCAGGAAGGTAATGCAAATGGAACAAATCATGTTCGATCTTCTTCTAGACAGCAACTTTTCAATCTACGTAATTCTCACAGTTACACTGTGCAGACTTCTTTACTGCAGACTCTTGAGTTAAATGGACTTTTAAAGTATCGAGGGACAAGAGGAGGCCAAAAATGTGCATCTTCGTATGGTTTTCCCGCTGCCCACCATCGTCCCTTACACCGGCATTGTAATGAATTTTCACCATGAACTGTGGTTTCTTGAATACCAGTGAGAGTTACGCCGCGATATCAGCCTTTAAAACCAAGGCGTGGTGACCAATATCAATGCGCTATTCCTGTGCCATGTACTCAGAAGGAAACAAGCAAGCCGATAGCTGAGAAACGAACAAAGGTACTACCTCGTAAGCTACTGACTAATGCAAGGTCCCTGAACAACAAATTGGATGAATTTGAACTTTTTCTTGACACCCATAAGATATATCCCCTAAACTTGACTCACAGCAATATGTCAACAGAAAAGAGTATTCTACTTCGCACTATCGGGTCAATATATGTTGGATTTTGTATTTCAGGGGTTAGATAAACCTGGTTATTTTGCAGAGATTTGTACTACAGATTTTACAAAGGCATTTAACCTGGTCAATCATAATTTTGTTATTTCCAAACTCTTGACCCTGGGTGTCAAAGATTCCACTGCTCCCACCGTCTGAAGCTTTCTTACATCGCGCACGCAAAATACCAAATTAAATGGACATTTCTCTACACTTCAACATACTTCATATGGGGTGCCACAAGGAACAAAACGCGGTCCGATTGTTTTTCTTATTTTGGTTAACGATGCCTCGATAGATTGCTCTAGGTGATGGAAATATGTTGACGATTTGACCCTTGGGGAAATTGTTAAATATGAAGAAGCACCTAAATTACAAACTCATCTTGATGACCTCTCTGAATGGTGCAAAATGAATGATGTGTTGCCTAAACCCGTCAAATGTCAACAAATGACTAAGTTTTTTGAAGCGGGACTTGTCGGAGACTTCTCTCTATAAACTTAGTCAATCTGAATCGTGTGTCCCATAGAAAGCTGTTGGGAATTATAATTCAAATTTCAAAGTGATTTAAAGTGGGACATGCACATCAGGGATATAGTTGCTAAGACGTCTCGTAGACTGTACAATCTATGTATTTAAAAACAACAAAAAAAGGCACTTCGGTAGAGGATATGGTAGCGGTTTTTAATGCTTCTATTAGACCAATTTTAGAATATTGTAATCCGGTTTGGCATACTCAATAGCAATATCAATAGTCATCATATTAATGCCATTGCAAAGGTCCAGAAGCTTGCCTGTAGAATTATACTGGGTCACCATCATCGGATAGTTATGCATCTGCGTTAGTCAAGTTATACGTGATAAATCTTGCAGAAAGACGTCAAACGCTTCTTTGCAAATTTGGCAACAAAATCCTCAATCCCATTAAATTTAGGCATATGCTCCCTCCCACAAAAACAACTCCAGGCAGCTTAGATCTAGTATCATTTCAGCTCTTCAGATTCCCAATAGTCGCACAAATCGCTACAAAAATCTACTATCCCTACACTGGCCAGAATTTTAATGTAATGCAGCAGTTTTTATGGCTAATAGTTTTATCAGGAAAGATTTCCATGACGAGCACTCTGAATCTCACTTGGTTACCCTGTTGGCTCATGGGGTTTATAATGTTGTTTCGGTGGTGCCATTTTGAATCACATCCTTTTATTGGAATTTGGTGTGTAGGGTGACCACCCCCCGTATGGATCTCTTTCTCTTTTCTTGCTTTTATATTCTTATCTTTATATCTGGATTTTTTTTTTAAGTAGTGTTGTAATATAAAGTTTAATTCATGTAATAGTTAATTGTAATGTAAATTTGAATTAGTTTTGGCCTTTGGCCACCGTGATTCAAATTCAATAAACCATAATACATAAATAAATAAAACTTTTCGAGAAATCTAATTTGTCGGAAATCCACAAAACATAGACAGGGTTTGACCTTGTTGGTCCGCTAGCCAAATTTTAGTCAAAACAGCCCACATGGCGGTGATCCTAGCATACACATAGGTAGTTGTTGCCGTTCTCGCTGTACTTGAGCGGAGTGTGTTCAAATTTGCATAAATATAAATTCATTGCGAGGTGGGGATTTTCCCATCAGTTTTCGATTTTGGAGCTGGGAAATCTACCAAAAGAAATCGCTCTGATTGTGACAAAACGACGACCAAACTAAATGGCAAAGATCATGCGACCTGCATGCACCGGCTGCACACAACTGACAAAAGTAGCGCCTATGTGAACTTCATAAATATGCATGTACTTCATAAATATGCATGTTGTGTTACATGAAATACATGTACATGTATGCATTTGTTGGCCCAGTATCGAAATGAATGTGCAATACACTCATTTTGATTTATGATTGGTGGTTGGGATGAAAGTGCTGTGGTGGTTGTAGTTTCGTGATTGCTTGGTCACGGCATGGTCGCGTGACAATGTCTGTTGGTATGTGGCAGTAAAAGAAAAAGTCAAGTAAAATTTATGCAAGTTCAGTGGGTTTTTTTTTTTACTGAAATTCTGATAAAGGAACTAAATTTCCATAAATTAAGAAATACTTCATTGTAAAATCAGCTTGTCATAATAGTTCTGGCTGAGGAATGGATTTCTTTCGTGGTTACTGTTTATTTGTGAAAAAGTTTCTCACGCATTCCGGAATTGCTTGAAACTGATCTAGCATTGACCAGCAAGAAAAGTGTCGTCATCACTCCAGACAATCCTGTGAGTTTAAAATTCAAAGGTTACATTTGGGAAAAAGTTTTGTTGTAGCTAAACACACGGTGTACTATTGGCCAGTTTTGATGAAATTTGACATTTTCCAGATGTAATCCGACTGAACAGTAACCTTCGCAATCCAGAACTAAAAGAAAACGATACTTTAAGACGGTTATCTTGCCAGCCAGGCGCTACATGTACATGTACGTAATTTCACTTATTCAGTGCACTGCCATACAATGTATATGTACATACATGTACATATATGAACATGTACAGGTACAGTGTACAAACTGTACATTCACGAAGCTGGTGCAACAGCTCTACATGTGCAGTGGTTCGCTACATGTTGTCGGTCACCTTTGCTGTCTGCGGTCACAAGCCCTGCCGAGATAATGAGGTCCGGGGTCAGGCTTATCATGCATTGGACCAGCAGTGCACTGTAAAAACCGCAAAGTGTGTATTGAACGGCGTGCCAGGTTCACTGGTCTTGTTAGTGCGTCGGCTAAAATTCTGACCTGTACTGTAGGATTGGTCACTGAAGTCCGGATGGTTAGAGGCTCATCAAGTCCACCTGCTGGCTCATGATGCTGAGTCTAGAGCTAAGATTTGTCATTCTAGCCTGGATGGTTTATGTTGCTGAGACTAGAGCTAGGATTGGTCACTCAAGCCTGGTTGGTTAGAGGCTGAAGATCACTGGCTGGTTCACGTTGCTGAGACTAGAGTTAGTTAGGATTCGTCACTCTAACCTGGATGGTTTGAGGCTCATCAAGTCTATCTGCTGGTTAATGTTGCTGAGACTAGAGCGGGGACTGGTCTCTCAAGCCTGGACTGTTATGAGGTCCATGGCCACCTGCTGATTCATGTTGTATCCATGAGCAAGATACGTGTATTTCCTTTTCATTTACTTGTAATAAAAGTGTTTATCTTTCCTGCAATACTTACAGGTATGTAGAAGCAACCGGACGATCACTCTTGAGAAAGTCGATCAGGGATCTACATGTATGATGGCTTAAGGTGCATGTAAGTCAACGGAACCACATAGAATGCAAAACAGTGAATCCTGGTGGGGGAAAAAGAAGAGAAAACGTATAAATCAGTGATGCTGAATTGTACTCAAAAACAACTTGGGAAAGCCTCACCAGTGGAAGGTCAACAATATCGTGTGCTTTGATTGATAGTTCAAAGTGTCAGATCCTCTGTATTTGAGTCTGTACTTTATCCAAATGCAAAAATCAAATCAAATTGAATGCCAAGGACACTAGCGTTACTACGGGGGGAGACCCTCCAGGCCCGTGCCCCCTATGTTTCCCATGCTCCCATAATCCCCCACCTCATCACAAATTAGAGAAGAAAAGCTCGGGTGACTGTCCATCTTGGTCAGTGTTCTAACTGTGACCGAACCCCACCGAGTGCCCCCTCTAAAAAAATGAGGCCACCTCAAATGCCCCTTGCAAATTAAACCCTGGTTACATCACCGAGTACAAGTACATTCTCACCATAGACATTGCTCTCAAATGGTAGTGTACATATCTGTCGTGTACATGATCTGTGATAGCAACATGTGCCGTACAGAGTCAGCATCAGGACATTCCCTTGTACTGCAGGCACCGAAGTTGGCGAGCCACGAAAGTCCACCACGGGGATGTTTAAATGTAGGCAACAGTCAGTCATTAGCGCTGTGAATGTAATCAGAATAAAAAAACTGAATTTATGAATACTAAATAACCTTTATTTGCAAAATAGCATGAAATATCATGAAAATTATCATTTTTTTAATAGTCCTGGAGAGGTCTTTAAATTAGTTTCCAGATTTCTTCAAATTGGTTTCTAGATCTTTGTAGGATTATCGCTTCTACCAATTAGAACCCAACCAACTGGCACTCCCTGCACGGCCCAGCACAGTATGGTGTGTTTTTATTCCACAATGACCAAATATGATCCAAGACTAGAGCTAGGATTGGTCACTAAAGCCTGGATGTTGAGAGGCTCAAATTTACCTGCTAACTGATGTTGTTGTGACTAAAGCTAGGGTTTCCATCAAGCCTAGATGGTTAGAGGCTCAAGTCCACCGGCTGGGTTATTTTGCTGAGACTGGAGGTAGGATTTGTCACTCAAGCCTGGATGGTTATTCAGGCTAAAGTTGACCTGCTGGATCATGTTGCTGAGGCTAGAGCTACAATTAGGCACTGAATCCTGGATGGTTTGAGGCTCAAAGTTCACCTTCTGGTTCACGTTGCTGAGACTAGAGTTAGGATTGCGTGGATGGTTAGAGGCGCAGGTCCACGTCCTGGTTCATGTACTTGAGACTAGAGCTACTATTTTCAGGATAGTAAAAACGCTGAATTTCACCTGCTAGCTCATGTTTCAGAGATGAGAGCTACATGCAGGACTTGTCATTGAAGTCTGGATGTTTAGAGGCTTTTTAAAGTCCATCTGCTGGGTCCTATTGCTAAGACTAGAGCTAATTCAGATTGGCCACTCCAGCATGGATAGTTGGAGGCTGAAGTGACCGGTATCTGTTGCTGAGACGAAAGCTCGGATTGGTCACTCCAGTTGCGACGTTGAGAAGCTCAAGTTAACTTGCTGTCTGATTTAGCTGAGACTAGAGCTAGGGTTTCCATCAAGCATGGATGGTTAGATGCTCAAGTCCACCTGCTGGGTCACGTTGATGAGACTAGAGCAAGGATTGGGCACTCCAGCCTTGATGCTTAGAGGCTCAGGTTCACGTGCTCGCTGATATTGCTGAGACTAGAGCTAGGATTATCACTCATGCCTTGATGGCAAGAGGCTCGGGTCCACCTGCTTGTTCATCCTAGAGACCAGGGCTAGGATTCTTCACTCCAACCTGGACAGTTTGAGGCTCATCAAGTCCACCTGCTGGTTATGTGGTGATGAGACTAGAGCTGGGACTGGTCACTCCAGCCTAGATGGGTAGTGACTCAAGCTCACCTGCTTGCTCATACTGCTGCGACTAGAGGTAGGACTGCTCACTCTAGCCTGGATGGTTAGAGGCTCAAGTCCACGTGCTGGTTCGTGTTGCTGAGACCAGAGGTAGGATTGATTGCATAAGACTGGATAGTTAGAAGCTAAAGTTCACCTGCTAGTTCATGTTGCTGAGACTATAGTTAGGATTGCTCTCTCATGCCTAGATGGTTGGAGGCCCTGGTTGTCCTGCTGGTTAATGTTGCTGACACTAGAGCTACATGTAGGATCGGTCACTACAAACTGGATGGTTAGAGGCTCAACTTCAGCTGCTGGTTTATGTTGCTGAGACTGGAGCTGGGATTGGTCACTCAAAGATGGTTAGAGGCCCAGGTCCACCTGCTAGTTCATGTGCCTGATACTAGAGCTAGTATTGGGCACTCTAGCCTGGATTGCAAAAGGCTCAAGTCCACCTACGGTACAGGTCAGAATCTTAGCCGACATGCAAACACGCTTTTATAGCGTGTCAGCGCATACTGAGTCAAACAGACACGGAAGGAGTTAACCACAAACACGAAACACGCTGAACCCTGCATAACAGAGAACGCCGACACCGCAGTCTAATCTGCTGAGCATAAACATGCACATACTACACGCAAACCCCAGAACAGCCAGGCCCTTTGTTGACCAGAGCAGTCATTTTCCTAGTTTCCCACAACGAAAAGGATTCAGTTTGTCTGCAGCTCAAGTTAGTTTTATATTCCACAGAAATGCTGTCAGTAGTTTCCTAGAATAGAGCAGGCTTCACAAAATCATTTCCAAAGATAAGGCGTTTTGCTTGTCCATACAGGATCGATGAAAGTGCCATGCAGGCAACACTTTTCGTTTATAACTGAATTGCTTCCAAAACCTCTGAATCAGGCACAGAAAATATTCGAGCGTGAAATCAATTTATAAAATGAAACGATTACAAATAGCAGTTTTTATGACAAAGCATTTCCTAAATTAGAGAAAACTATTTTGTAAGAAATCCACAAAAGATAAACAGGGTTTGACCTCGCCGGCCCGCTAGCCAAATTTTAAGTCAAGATGGCCCCCATGGCGGCCATACACACTCGAGCGCATTGTGCTCAAAATCGCATAAATATAAATTCAATGTGAGGGGGGGGATTTTTCCCATCAGTTTTCGACCTTTGAGCTGTAAAACCTACCTAAAAATATCGCTCTGATTGTGACAATATCAGGACCAAACTGAATGGCAAAGATCGTTCCAAAAAATGAAAGGAAATTGGGTCTGCACTTGTGCTAGCGACTTGCATGCAACAGCTGCACACAACAGACAAAGTACACGAAGTAGCGCCATAGGAACTTCATAAATATGCATATCATGTGATGTGTAAGGGCTGTAGCTTTGCATTTGTTGGCGCTGTATCGAAATGAATATGCAATACACTTGTTTCGATTTATGATTGGTGGTTGGGGTGAAAGCGCTGGGGTGGCTGTAGTTTCGGGATTGCCTGGTCGCGGCATGGTCGCAGCATGGCCGACGGTTGCAGCACATGTGGCATGGCAGCAAATGAAAAGTCAAGTTAAATTTACACAAGTTCAGTGGGTGTTTTTTTGAATTTACAGGCATTCTGATACATGTACATGAACTTAATTTCCACAAAAGAATTGTAAAATTGTAAAATCAGCTTGTTATAAAAGTAATGGTTGAGGAATTGATTTATTTCGTGGTTACTGTTTATTTGTGAAAAAGTTCTCACTCAATCAGGAATTGCTTAGAACCGATCTAGCATCAGAACTAGCAAGAAAAGAGTCGTCGTCACTCCACTCGATCCCGCGAGTTTAAAATTCAAAGCTTACATTTGGGAAAAGGTTTTGTTGTAGCTAAACACACACGGTGGACTACTGGCCAGTTTCACTGAAATTTGACATTTTCCAGATGTAATCCGACGGAACAACTTTCGTGATTCAAAACCAAAAGCAAACGGCTGTGATAGTGATACATATTTTGATACTTCAAGACAGTCATCTTGCCAGCCATGCACTACACGTTAATGTACGTGATTTCACATATTCAGTGCACTGCCATACAATGTACAATGTACATGTACATGTATGTACAGTACATGTACACGCGTACACGAAGCTGGAGCGACAGCCCTGCATGTGCAGTGGTTCACTACACGTTGTCAGTCACCTTTGCGGTCTGTGGTCACAAGCCCTGCTGAGATAAAGAGGTCCGGGGTCAAGCTTATCGTGCATTGGACGAGGTAAAAAGTGCAAGGTAAAAACCGCAAAGCCTGTATTGAATAGCGTGCCAGGTTCACTGATCGTGTCAGCCCGTTAGGCTAAAATTCTGACCTGTACTGTACTGACACGCGCTGCTGAGATGGGAGCTAGGACTGGTCACTCCAGCCTGGATATTGAAAGGCTCAAGTTCACCTGCTGGCGGATGTTGCTGAGACTTGAGCTAGGGTTTCCATCAAACCCGGATGGTTAGAGGCTCAAGTTCACCTGCGGGTTCATGTTGCTGAGACTATAGCTAGGATTGTTCACTCCAGTCTGGGTGGTTAGAGGCACAAGTCCACCTGCTGGTTCATGTTGCTCAGACTACAGCTAGTATTGGTCACTCGAGCCTGGATGGTTAGAGGCTCAAGTTCACTTGCTGGTTCATGTTGCTGAGACTAGAGCTACGATTGGTCACACCAGCCTGGATGGTTAGAGGCTGAAGTCTACCTGCTGGTTCATGTTGTATCCATTAGCAAGATCTTTCGTTTTCATGTGCTTGTAGTAAAAGTGTAAAGGATGGGGCTCTTTACTGCAATACTTACAGAAATGTAGAAACAGCTGGATGATCACTCTTGAGAAAGTTGATCAGGGATCTGAGATGACTTAATATACTCTATGTCAAAGGAACCATATGGATGGCAAATCAGTGAATCCCGGTAAGGAAAAAGAAGAGGCAACATATAAATCAGTAATGTCAAATTTTACTCTATAACAACTTGGGAAAGCTTCACCAGTGAAAGATCAACTATATCGTCTGCTTTGATTGACAGTTCAAAGCGTCAGATCCTTTGTTTTTGAGTCTTTACTTCACGCAAATCCAGAAATCAAAGTAAATTTGATGCCAGGAACAGTAGCGTTACTAAGGGGGAGCCCCTCCCAGGCCCATGCCCCCATGTTCCCCCTCCCTCCATCACAAAGTAGAGATGAAAAAATGTGGTGACTGTCCGTCTTGGTCAGTGTTCTAACTGTGACTGCACCCCACCGAGTGCCCCCTCTAGAAAATGAGGGCACCTCAAATGCCCCTTGCAAATTAAACCCTGGTTACACCACTGAGTACAAGAGAAACATTCTCACCATAGACATTGCTCTCAAATGGTAGTGTACATATCTGTCATGTACATGTTCTGTGATTCCAACATATAGTGTCAGCATCAGGACATTCCCTTGTACTGCAGGCACGGAAGTTGACGAGGGAAGAAACTCCACCATGTGGGATGTTTAAATGCAGGCAACGGTCAGGCATCAGTGCTGTGAATGTAATGATAAATTCAAGATGTGGCAATAATCTTGCTGCACAGAACAGGATTTCCTTCAGTCATGAGCTTGACCTTAGCATTATTAAGGCTCAAGTTTTCCTGCCGAGTCAAATTATACTCAGCTTCTCTGACTGAAGAGATACAAAAGATACATGTAGAGTCATTTGCAAAAGTTTAAGGCCACTTGGAATTTCACTGGTAGATGTATTTCTGTCAGCGGGCCTGCATTATATTCTCATTGAATGATTACTTCCATTTTTACAGTGGTGCGTAACATCAGCGTAGTGCTACACGTACATATACCCATTTGAATGGAATTAAATCTTTTGCGAAGGCAGGTCTTGTAGGAGAGTAATCAGAAATAAAGGACGGCACACTAAACAGCAAAATATTAGACTGTTAACATTTCAAATCATGCAAATGTAGTCAGATAGCTATTTAACCAAGATACGAGGGTTACACACTGAAAATAAACATAAAATTGGTTTTTCTTCAGATTTACCATCCTATGCTGAAGTCACTCTCTGGGTCATTTGGTGAACACCTCAAAGAAGCACAGCTGTGTTGTGTTGTGCGCTGCACCAACTGTCCCTCACAGGAATATCAGATTGCTCTTTTGTGCTGCCCAACAACTGTGCTTCACTGTTTCATGTGCATCATTGTGCAGT